AAAAATAAATAACATATAGGTAACTGTATATTAAAATAAGATTCCCCAAATAATATTTGTTGCTACAATTGCTAAATTGCCCTGATTAAAGTTGATATACAAGTTTTATACCTCAGGATTTTTTAACAAAAGTTTTTTCGGGTAGCTAGAAATAACCTTCTGTGTTTTTGCATTTACAATAACGAAAACCAAATTGAATAGAACCCTTTTATGGATCACACCTGGAAGCCGCAATCAATGCCCTACCAAAGTTGTATAAATTGATAAGACTGGTTTGAACAGGCTATGAGACTAATCAGCTGAGAGTACAGAGAGTAGGCCTCGACAGCGATCAATATAACACGTTTCATAGCGCCAATAACCGAGTGGTAATTAATTACAATACCGTTACAAGTTATGCAGATGACCGCTAGGAGCAGCACTAGCGTGTGTGGGTAAAACAGTGCACGCGGTTCTCAGCTTTTCCGCTCTATCAACAGAGCAGGTTTGGGTGGGAAAGTATTGCGGATATTTAGGCAGAGCAGCACTGACTTGTGTCGGTAATGTAGTTCACATGATTGTCATCTTTGCCGCTATAACGGGGGAGGCTTGGATGGGTGATGTAGGTAACGCAGTTCAGTTGAATGTAGGTAATGCAGATCGTGTGGTTCCCAAATCCCAGCTATGCTAAGCAGGACAGATATGGGTGGGTTGGGTGATTACAGATGATCTACAATGATTTTCATGTGACAACGCGCAGCTGATATAGTTGTTAGAGCTTGAAAAGTATGTGGTTCAGATACTGCTATATACATATGCATTGTAAAACTACTTGAATATATTGTAATCCGGTGGTTTGGAATCCAGCTTGAGCAATGAATCTATAAAATAAAATAATGTTGGTCCGTCACCATCAGGGAAAGAGAAATTAGCTGTATTGGAGAAATCCATGTGTGCCTTAAAAAGTGAAAACTAATTTGATGTTATTGTAAGCAGATTAAATATGGTTTTGCTTATCTATAACAATAAACGATACATTGCTTTGTAGCGTTACCTTCTCACCGTCTCTTATATTTTAAACTTTTGCTTATATGTTTTAAGCTATCTCAAAAAGCTGTTACATAACTTAGGACAAACTTCATATTTCAATTGTAAGAATATCGTGAGTCAGCCAACTATTTAGCAATTTGTATTAATAGGATCTATTTTAAATAATTATAAACTGTCCAATAGCAACAAATTTTGGCAGCTAGATGTACTCGCATTCAGCATTTTCGTGAACAACATGACTTGAATAATGTGGTTTTACCATAACTGCAACAGATTATGGTTCAACCCCAATACTGTAGGCTCAGAGTAATAAAACAAAATTTTGTTTTATTACTCTGAGCTGTAGGTAACGTAGACTGGTAGTTCCATATGAACGTCACACACAGCAGCACTTTACGTGCAGTGCAGGTTACCGACACCACAACACTGATACTTTTCGCGGGTATAATGAACAAAAGCTAATTAATCGTAAGCTCAACCTGTAATAAAATGAAAACGTGAAATAGGAATTCAAAGATTAGTGGTACATTTTCCACACTTTCAAAATTACCTACAAGCTTAGACGAGTTCATGATTTTGTCCATAGCAATCTTTAAAAATAATCATTGGATTAAATATTCTGTTTTCAAAATAATCCTATACAAAGTGAAAGTTCCGAATATTTTTAGTAATATAATGAAGGAAACATGGTTAGAGGACAGGTGACCAAACACAATGCGTCTTTATATAAAAGTAAAACACGTAGGCACCTGTATGTTAAATAACTGAAAATCGTTTTTCTTGAATTTTCTTCTAAACGTTTTAAATCAATACCGTTATCTTTTGCTAAACAGTTGAATTAATTATTGTATTAGTTGAAAAGGATTGTAAATGATGTTTCTTCGGATTAATAGTTACGCTTTAGTTCTCCATTCCAATTAACCGAACGAGACGAAGATGATTGCGAGCTCGTCCGATAGGTAGCAGGAGCGTTGTGTTTTCGCTCCACTTCGTAACCGGAAGTCGCTTCAGGTCCATATCACTTCCGTACTCGCCGGTTTATCGTTTATCCGATCCAGCGCATCCATATCGAAGGCCATAACGACAGTTTTGCGGTTTATGAAGGGTTTATGGTTGTGTTTATCGAGTTTCGAGGTTAACAACATTGTAAGATTGGGGAACTGATAAACGTTATGGTCTGACGCAGCTCAGCATTTGTTATGATTTCATTTCGGGGATCGCTTTTAAATCGGACGATGTTTTCGTTAGGGTTGAATTTATCTCAATATTCATTCGTTAGAGGGATTGGCCTGTTTTTATACCTAGTCGAAATTTGATTTTTAGAATGCTGGATTTATTCAAAAATAAAAGTTGTTGTCATACGAACTACCTTCTTGTTTTATTTATTCTAAACAGTAAGTTTGTGCATGCTTTTTACGACAGTTTTTACACAGAATATCTATACAGGAAAGTTGTCAAAATGTCAACTACGTGATAAATGATTTTATTAACCATTCGGTACAAACAATACAATAGGCATTGTCATTCAAACATGCATCAATCTAACTACAGCATACGTCACACAGCAAACCAAAACAATACAGAATAAAGATGTATACACTGCAAACTACAAAATAATGCAGCAAAACCATGCAGGTGCATTTCTAATCACCTATATTTTTAAAGTTATTGTGCAATGTCCATAAGTTGTTACACATAGTTTGTTTAACCAACAAATTCATCAAATTAGTAATACCTGATTTTGGAAGAGAGCCTTGTGATTTATAACATACAACGCTGAAAATATATTTTTTCTATGAAGAATATTTTTGTATACAAAATTTACTAATTTGACATTATAAACTCTACATTGCACACGATACATACAATTTTACAATTCATCAATATGATTTCATGAAACAATTGATTTTTTGTTAAACGTCTGCTAACTCTTCACAACCGTATGTAAAGAACAGTTTATTGTTACAAATGGGGCTGGCAAATCCCCCAAAGGTAAACAAGGAAAGGTGCAATTGAAATATTTTCCACGAGCACGGGGGGACTATAAATCTAGATTGGCCGTTTTGTCGCCTTTAGCAGCGCTGTACCTGTCGCCGTAGCTTACAATAAGGCAGCGTGCCAGCTAAAGCTACAGCTATACCTTCAGAGCTGCATATGGGGAGACGTATAGCACTCTAGCTGGGAATTACCTTCGTTCCAAGGCGTTAAATCGGAAAACAAAATTATGATGGTAAATTTTCAGTTGGAAATTGGATTAATTGTTGAACAGTATTGGTGATGTGAAATATAGTGGGAATACGTTGGTTTATTTGATGCACAGCTATTTTCGTAGTTTATTACAAGTCTATAGTTTTCCATTTTACATTTTGCTCCTGATTTAAAATTAAAGTTTTCGTATGTATGATTTAAATTTTTTGTCATTAAAATAGTTGGTTGCATTATACTGAAAATGGTGCCTTAAGTGCTTTGTTGACAAGAATTAAATATTTCTAATTGGACACTCAAACCAACAACGTAAATGCCTTCAATCGGAGGGACGGCAATTCAGCTGCTGCACCTACATTGCATCTATACATCTGCAGGCGCTTCTTGATGCGTGGAAGTTTTCAGAGTTGAGTCATTCTCCATTAGGATATCACCACTAGAATTGCTTCCTTGCACGGGATTGGGATGAATGTTTCCATCAATGTTGAAACATGCGTTTTTAAATAAATATGAATTTAGAAAGAAAACAGAAAAGAATAACTGGCCATTGAAAAGTACTTCTTTCTTTTAACATACATAACAAAAATATTTTTGTGATTTAAAAAAAATGCAATATTGTGATTTCGTTTTATTTTATATTTTAATATTTTCTAATATTACACTACAGCCAATTAAAAAACGTTGAACAGAAAACCCCCATTATGTATAAATTATCTTTATAATAAAATAGTATTGTTGTGAATATCTTAATTAATGTCAACATTTTCGCTTTTAAAAAGTCAATCTAGGTATTTCAAATGTCTCTTAATGATTAATTTAAACAATCTCATAAATTTTCTTTGCTTATTGATAAAAGAGGTAGTTATAGACTTCAATGGAAAAATGAATTTCAAAAAAGGTAACACTGGTGTAAGAGATAAGCGGTGTTGTGTCATAGTCTGCTGGAAGCGACACGATAAACTGTCCGATATTACATAACACAGGTGTCTCTTCTCTGCTATTGTCATGAACATCACTGGACTAAACTTGGACTCACACAGCTTTGAAAAATACAGTTGCTTTTGCAAATCATGTAGTCTAAACCAATGAATAACATGAGGATAAATTAATTACTGAGCCATTTCATTTTGTTACAATTAAATAATAAAGTAATTTATATTTTCTAATTTTATTGAATGAGTGTAGCGGTTTTACTTTAAAAGAATGTTTTGAAATGGATTGTTTTGCAATTAATTTCAAACTCTGGGCACAATTATAATAATTTGTAAATAATGGGAAATTAATGTTGTCTGTAAATGTAATTCTAGTTATAAGTAATTAAATTTAGACTGGATCGTTTAATCCAGGTTGGTGTAATCTTGAAATAAATCCAGAAATCCATTCATGGTCAAAAGTTATTGTTTTAAATCATTCAATGGTCCCTATGAAAGAAATATTTTAGAGAAACTTTTGAAAATACGTTGATATAAATAACCTTACAATTATTAGAGATGACAATTATTTAAACCATCAATTTTTATCCAATTACATGAAATATTTCACTTTTAACCTAACAGTTGAAAGGCTGTTGGTACGATCCTGAGAATTTAAGAAAATTTTGGTTGAAACTGATTCCAGCAAGGAAACAGCTGATCTTAGTCAGTAACAAAGCTACACAAAACATTTCACTCCATTCCACAACCAACCTTTACTCATAAGTGGGTTGAGATATGTCCAGCTGGGCCTATCTGGATTTATAATAATCAGTATTTATCCGTCTGTTGCAGAAACCCTGAGCAATGTCCGAGTGTCGTGTCGCTATTGGCTGAGAGTTACAACCCCCATGTGAGGTACGGTGCAGCTATGGCACTTGGGATAGCCTGCGCCGGCACTGGTCTTAAGGTGAGAAGAATGTGGCTGTAGTCAGATCTAGTTAGACTTGATAATGTTGTTGTAGCGTAGAGAAGTAAGGTACAGAGGAAACATTCAGTGTTACACTTAAGCTGTGTCTAACACAGTCTCTCGTGTCTAGGGATAAGTCGCCCACAAGTACTACAACGCTTATGGTGGAGGAAGACCCTGTGTTCTGTGCGATAAGAATTACCACACAGTGCTCGCCGCACTGACTCTTCATTGCTCGTCAAAAGTATATTTTGGGCACAACATTTTTAGAGCTGAAAGCCTACGAATGATCCATAAGCAATTTACCTCTGTACTTCACTTCTCTGGGGTGGTAGATAATTAAGTTATAGTGGTACAGTAGTTAGAGTGGTTAGTGGTGCGGCAGTTAGACAAGTTAGCGGTGTCTTAGTTACCTAAGTTATTGATTTATTAGTTATACTAGTTAGTGGTTTGGTAACTATCCTAGTTACTGGTCTTAGTAGATTAGTTAGCGTTGCTTTGTTAGTCTTTTTATAAGTGATCTTAAACTAGTTAGTGGTTTGATAGTTATACTAGTGAGTGGTGTCATAGTTACCCTAGTTAGTGGTATAGTATTTACACTTGTTATTGGTGATATAGGAAGATCAGTTAGTGTTGCAGTAGCCCTTTAACAGTGGTGTAGTTAGACTAGTTAGTTGTGAGTAAGTTAGAATAATAAGTGTTGTCTTAGTTAGAAATTGGTAACTGTCCAGTAACTTATTACCCTTTGAGGCACTCCCTGTGTTCAAACTTGAGTTTAGCTAAGTTGAACAGTCAAATTTCTATTAAAGTAGCTTTTCATACTTTTGTCCGAAAAAAATATTTTGATTTTTTTAAAGTATTTGCTAGAGACCCTTACATTGTAAACTTACTTGTCGTGTCTTATATTTGAACAAACACTAAAATTGTACTCCCCATAATAGTTAGGTCAATGCAAACATTTTTAATGCAATCGTTTTTTTCTGATTACAGAGTTACTCAAAATTTCACATAGTACTAATATTGCTTTGTTTGATATTTAAATTTTAATAGTTATAGCCGTACCACTTTCTCAATTTAAACAATATATAAATGCCAATGGCCATTCTCTAAGTAAAGAGTGGTAATACAAAAATCAATACATTTTCATTTTTAGATATTTTCAGAATGTTCTATTTAAGTTACACGGAACTATCAGAAGTTATACAAATGTAAGGAGCGCTACTTTGCTGACTTGACTTAAACATGCGAAAACACTCGGGACTAAACTTTCAACAGCTCTCAACCGTGTCTATCGGTTCCACTCTCATTGTAATGGCTAACAATAATAGTAAAGAGCAAACTCTCTACAAGAAACTTGGGACTTTTTAATACTTTTGCTGTTTAGTTTGAGACAAGTTAATTATTAGAGCGGCATGCAGCATTTATCTATAAGTTTTATTTTAAAGTTATTTGGTTGCTTTTGTGCGGTTATTTTTACTTTTAGTGAAATCAGTTCATATCTTTTGCTTTTAAAGTTTGGTTGGTTAATTAACTATTGCTTAGGTAAATATTTATCTTAGTTTTAAACCAAAACCTAAATATATATTTTTTTTATTTGACATAAATTGATGAACATAAAATGATTTGTGCAATCATTACAAGTTTTTAAAATTCTCTTAGGCAAATTTAGGTTGTTTTGAATCAAGAACTTGTTCTTAGAGTCTTGGTTTTATTCTGATTCATATATGCTTTTAACTCTGTTATTATATTCCACAATTAATAAAAAGTGAGTTTGGTCTAAGTATATTTATGTTACATATATTTCTAGTTTATTTGTTTGATATGTGTATGTTTGTTTGTTGTAGGAAGCCATTGCTCTACTGGATCCGATGACCAATGATCCTGTTAATTTTGTACGTCAAGGAGCTCTGATCGCCTCCGCCATGATCCTCATCCAACACACAGAGCAGACATGCCCCAAGGTAAGAAAATATTTTTTTAAATAATTATAATTGTGTATAGGATAGAAATTGAGTTATATCGTATCAAGTTATATGTAAAGCCATTTCCAAATTCATCTCGTCCAGCATAAATAGTTATTTCTACGTTTGATCAAACAACAGATACAAACCGACACTGTATTGTGTAAACGTTAAAAAGTGTTTGGTTTGGAGATTCCTCAAATGAAATATAATTTATGGTAGTGATAAAAATGCATGGGGACACTTTTTGAAACATTGATGTCTTATCACAAATTGACATAAAAACAATAATCAGTAGAGCACTTTTTATCTTTATAAGTTTAATTGTTAGAAACTAATGGGTTATTAACTCTATAAATAATCCTCATTTGATTATCATAATTCTCAACTAATTTATTTCCCTCAGTCTTATATCAATAACATGTTAGACACAGATATTTTCCGTATGAGATATTCTGACAATTAGAGCTTGAAGACGGTGTGTCTTGACTTTGAGTATACTTTAAAGACTCATTACCCCAAACTCTGTAATGTTTAACAGTGGAGTTTCAAAGATCAATAGCTTGACTTCAAACATTAGTTTTGCTCCGGCTCCCTCGTTTGCGGTCTGATTGGTTTCTGTTTCTCTGTTGTTACGTTACTTGCCAATGTTGTGGCTTCGGTTGACGTTACGTTTATCAGCGTAACTTTGGTCTTACCAACACTCTTTACTTGTGAAGTTGTTTTATGCTCGACTTTGATCAAAATCTAAATTTGAGTAGTTTCAATTTTGGTTAAAACTGAATCATGAGACTCAGCATATATTTTAATATTCAATATTATAGCTAATAATAAGTTTAGAAAACTGCATTTTGTTGGGTTTGTTTTATTTTGCTGTTTGCTGTTTGATTGTTCAAAGTTTACATTTTGTGTATTTTGTAGGTGAAGGACTTCCGTGCTCTATATGCTAAAGTGATTGTAGACAAACATGAAGACGTGATGGCCAAATTTGGAGCTATACTCGCCCAGGGAATTATTGACGCTGGTAAGCCTATGTTTTTATATATTTCCATTATCCCCTATAAGTAAGTAAAAAGAATAATAATTTATCTTCAAATATTGATACTGAGTTTTAATAACTATATTAATTCAGTTACTTTAACTTAATATTAATGTCAGAAAAAACAGTTCTTAAGACTAAAATGGTCATCAAAACTTTTGCTTCTCTTCTGTGTATTCATTGACTTCCAAATATCCTCCATAAAATGTGTTAGGCCTAGCCTAAAAAAAACTGTTTAAAAGATTTTTTGTGGATTTGAGGAATAGTGATATTGAGATGGAAATGAAATGACAACTTCTTCTAGGTTCTAACTGTGGGAAGACCTGGGATGTTACTGGTCCTCCATTTATTTTCTCACATGAACTTTTACAAACTAAGATACTTTCTTCCAGTTCTCAAGAGAAGCTATAGGGAAGGCTGTTTCCATAGGAAAGGCACTCACCATAAGCTCAACCTGTCTCCTCTTGACAATCCAGAGCTAAACATTTTGATTCATTGATTTCCATAGCTGGACACTAAAGACTATTGTTTTTATAAGTTTAAATGATGAATGTTTTCTTTGTGTCACACAGGTGGTCGCAACGTAACTCTCACCCTCCAGTCTCGCACAGGCCACACCAACATGTTGGCTGTGGTAGGTGTGCTGGTCGCCACTCAGTACTGGTACTGGTTCCCCCTGGCTCACTGTCTGGCTCTAGCTTTCACTCCAACCTGTCTCATCACTCTCAACTCTCAACTCAAGGTAATACTCTAACTCTAGACTGTCAACTCAAGATTATCTCCTAACTCTCACCTCTTGACTAGAAGTTTTGATTTAGCTATCAACTCCTAAGTTCTGGTACTCAACTCTTAACTAAAGTTATACCCCTAGCTCTTAGCTTATAATTTAAGATAATGCTTAAGTTCTCAATTCTCAACTGAAGGTAATGCTTTAGCTCAATACTCTCAACACAAAATAATGCTCTAGCTCATACCTCAAGATGTGTTCAAAACAACTAACGTTAAAACAAGGTAGATCAATTTAGCACTTCAAGGCAATAATTCTCTTGCTAAAACTATCAAGCTAGTAGGGCACAGGAGGGCTATGTTCTACATGCACTAACTAACAGTAATCTTTAGGGGTCAGAATTTCAAAGATGTTATTTACACAATCTGATAACAGTTTTTGGTTTGTTTTTGTGAATTTAATCTTAGGTCCAGTAAAGTTTATTTTTGATTTTCAAAACGTTCTTGTTTTCATATACAGTAGACTCCCTCTTATCTGGACTCCTCGGGACCGAGGCCAGTCCGGATCACAGTTTTTCCGGTTGAACCAACGTCCCCAAAAACTCGTCAAAAGTACCGTTTAAATGCATACTGTATACAGTATTTGACATAAATTTAGGAGAGCATTGTATTTAGACACGTGATCACTGGTCTCAAACCTTTCCCACGAGAACAGTTGTTTCAGTACTGCCTACTTCCTGCCAATCTAGTCCGGTTAAACCGATGTGCTGATAAAAATTGTCCGGTTGAGAGATGTCATTTCTGCCAAGTGTAGTCCGGTTAAAAGGTGTCCGGATAAGAGGGAGTCTACTGTACAAATGTTAACTGTATAACCTAGACCAAAAATACTATACCGAGAAGTCCGAGAGATATTATTGACCCCACATTTCTAAGTCCAACTGTAAAAAGGATTCTTCATTCTGAAACATAACCTCCAAAATCATTACCTCTTTTATATTTTTGTTATATAGATGCCCAAGCTGGAGGTTCGTAGCAACGCCCGTCCTTCTGTGTACGCATACCCTCCACCCCTGGAGGAGAAGCGGCGCGAGGAGAGAGAGAAAGTGACCACCGCAGTACTCAGCATCGCCGCCCGGGCCAGGCGCCGCGGCACATCCAAGGCTTCAGCCGACAGCGTACCAGACAAGATGGAAGTGGTAAGCAACTGCTTTTTTGGGTTCAAAATGTGTTTAAAAAGTTCTTTTCAGTTAGTAAGAGATCACGGTTCAATCAAAATCCATAAACATAAAGGAATGTAAAATAAATAAAAGTTTCATGGCTGCTGGTTCAGTTCCCAGCTAAATAGATTATGGACCAGAGGTGTCACTTGTCATCTGGCTATCAATTAATGATGTTATTTAACAAAAGGTTAAGGTTAAATAGCAACAAGATGAGGATTTGGACCATTTCCTTGGAAAAATCTACAAGAAAGCCAACAGCATTGATTTAACAAATATAAAAAATAAAAGAACAACATTTGTTGGTATGCTGGCACTGAATGTTACTGTTTTCCAGACACTATGGATATTTTTTTAATGTTATTGCTATACAATATCATTGATATAAGATTATGAGTTATTAGTTTGTAACTGTGGTTTGTCATTTTTTATGTTAAATGTTTTAAAATTTTGAAATGTAGCTTTTTATTTAACTTATGTTATCTGAATCTTTTGACAACATTTTTGTAGTAAGAAGCAGTGCTCGATTTCCGGGGGAACACGGTGGAACAGATTTCCTGTACCTCTCTTTTGGAAGGATAAAATAATGGTCATAAATAGGTACTAATCACATTAAATAGGTTACATACAGTTCCGGCTCATCATTTTTTACAACTCGAGTACTGGAAGTGTACTCAAAACTAGATTAAATAGGATGGGAAGTAAAAATATTTCGATGAGAGATATTGCTTGAGGTAAATAAACAGGCAAAAGCAAGATCTGTGTAAAATATAGAAATAATAAAGTCCAACTTCACCGCCAATTAAAACTTGCGCTCGAGCAAGCCAACTGATTCAATTTGCAAAGCAAGTGAAACGTAATTAGCTCTTTTAAAGCTATTAGTTGCTTAAGAAATTAGTTTTAAAATCCAATTATTGCCTATTCCTGTGCAATGGGTTGCTACTCCAACTGTTCTGCAATTGTCTTTAGAATATGACATCACACTTATATTCTAGGATGAAGTAAAGGAAGAAGAGAAGGAAAAGGAAAAGAAGGAGAAGGAGGAAAAAGAGAAAAAAGAGGAGAAGAAACCAGAGCCGAACTTTGAGATCCTCCACAACCCAGCACGAGTGATGAAAGCTCAGGTAGGCACTATGTTATATCTGTTCTGAATCTTCCATGGGAAGCATTAATGTTATTAAACATGAATGTGTGCTTTGGTTATTTCCTTAGATGCCACATTTGTAAAATAGATTGCTATTTTGTAAAATAGTTTTATTGACATAGTACACTAAACATTCACACAAAATCTCTCCTTTAAAACATTGTTGTTAAGTAAAAAATGTATGATAATCCTGAGAGACAACATCGCAGTAAATAATATTCTATTTTCTTATCACAAACCTTGAATGTGTCTTGGACAGTCTATGTTAATAAGAAAGGTTTTTATTTAAATTTGGATTATAAGAAAAAACTGCTCTAAAGTTAAAAAGGTTTCAAGTTTAATTTGTAAAATCTGTGTGAACCCTCATAAACCTTGACTGCTCGAGGTTCCAATTCCAAGTTGACTAAATTAGTGAGTTTGGAACTGAAATATCTATAAATCGATTGCTATGTGCAACTGTATGGGTTTGCCTTGTTCAAAATTAAACACCTCACACGAATCTAGTTGGTGTACAGATTACTGTAGTTGCTTCTGGTAACTTGAAATACGTTACAAGCAGGTAACCTGGCCCGTAACTTGTCTACCCACTGGCCTCGTGTAAAAACAGCTTAGCTTAAGAACACGTTTTTGGTTGAGATCATAATGATAATTTTGTATGTTTTATATCTTTTGTTGTTTTTTACAGTTGAAGGTGATCTCCCTGGTGGAAGGAAGCCCTTACCAGCCTCTCAAAGACGTCACCATTGGAGGCATCGTGATGGTCAGACACACCAAGGGAGGCAGTGAGGAGCAGCTTGTTGAGCCTGTGGCAGGTATGATGATGATTGAATGTTGCTCGATCAGTTTTAGCTAAAGAGAGGAAATTCCTTTATTTATCCTTAATACCAAAACAGATATTTTTGTCTAGAACAACTGTAATTATTTGGTAGGTAACCTAAAGCTTAAGATAGGCTTCAAAAAACATTATTACATAACAATTTCCATTAGTGGGAGGTGTAAGGTAAAAGAAAAGTCGAATCTAGTCCTACCTGATAAGAGGAAGAGTGTGAATGCTTTTAAATCGATTATTTTCCTTATTGTTTAATTGATACAACAGTAGTGCTGGTTTTGGTAAAAGGTATTTTATACATAAGGCCAATAAACTCTTCCTCGAAAATTTAAATCAGTTTTTTATGTTATGTTGATGCTATTTTGTGATAGTGGGCTTATGAGGCTTTCTCTCTATAGTTATGAGAGTAATACTTACAAAATTATTAAAAACAATTTTTGTTTCAGCCTTCGGACCGAAACCAGATGAAGAGAAGGAGCCCGAGCCCCCAGAACCATTTGAATACTCTGAAGATTAAGAAGTCACAGCATCACTGACTACTGATCAATGACACACACTCCTGCTTCTTATGTTTAGATCCCCACAATTAATTTTTGTAGTTTGTCACTAATTTAAATTAAATATATCAATGTCATTCCGGCTATAACATGTTTTGTTATTGTTCCCTTTGTGTAAAAATGTTTTTAGGGTGTCTAATAAAAATAATTGTGAATTTTGTTTGATTTAAGTTGGATGTGTTTTTTAACTTCAACGTTAAATAACTTTCCTTCAATCAAAATATTGATTGAAAATCTATGCTTCTCAATCAAATTGATCAACTAACAAAAATTGTTTATTTTTTTTCAAATAATTCTTTTTCTCATTTTGTGTTTGTTATATTAATCCACCTTTCATTGGTGTGAAATGAAATAAAATGAGATAAAAAAGCCATTTATTAAGAGGCGAAGTTAGGACTGAAAAGTTTCCTTTTATCACTTCATCTCCAAGTATGCGTTGTAGAATGTGGTAAATTTGGAATTAGATTTTAGAGCAAAAACCTTTGTACCAATCATATTTTTGTTTAACAGAAATAAATATATTACTTTAAATCAGGGAGTTAAAGTTGGGGACTTTTTTTGTTAAATTTTAACGTGTTTTTATAAAACAAAATCTGTTTGAAATTAAACTCCTATTTTGGGTTGGGTTAGGCTGGCTATGTTAGGCTAGAACCGAGGCATCACCTAAAACCTTTGTACACAACAAACACAACATTTGTTGTGGTAGTGTTAGGACAAAAAAGGTCCTTGAAATTATGTTGGTGCTAAATAAAGTGTTATTATATTTTCTTTCAAGGCATATTTATTTTATCTTCAGACATTTTGGTCCTAGGTAAAATCAGAATGAATTGTTAGCCACTACCGAACCAAATATAAAATATATATATTGATATACTAGTTACTTACAAGAGTAACATATCATTTTACAAAATGTTTTGGATATAAGATTTATGTTTCAAGCCTATCAAATTAAATAAACCTTTAGGAACAGAGGAAATGAAAATAATAATTTCACAAAGGGAAATCATAAAAAGAATCACTTTCATGAAGTAAACCCAATTAGCTATTAAATTACGCATTAAAGTGAATTCTCAACAACGGGTTCTTTTCAATCCAAGCGTTTAATTAGATTGTTTGTTACACAAGTTAGAAAACAATCAAAGCTAATATTACAATCAAAACTTTGCAACAATAATAATTTACTTATTAAAACTTCAAATTAGCTTTTCCCACTTGTAACTTGTCTTGAGCAACTTTTTCAATCATATCTGTTTGTCTACAACTTTTGTGATCCGACAGTCCAAATAAAAACATTTCATAATAGTTTTATATACAGTTTTATTAAGGGTGCTTGTTTAGTTGAAATGTCAGTTGGAAAAGGGAAACAATTTAAAAATTATAATTTCAAATTCCTTCTCTTCCCCCCTGTTTCCCTTTCTATTCCTTAAAGTCCTTTCTGTAATTTCAATTTGATATTAATACAACAAGTACCATTAGTTAGAACAAATTGAATTAACTGCAATGTAATTTACCAATTCGTCAACAGTAGCGAAAGAATAAATGAATTTATATTGCTGTTCAACTGACTCCTAAGGGAAAAGAAGAGTGTCACATCATTGCTTCAGAAATTCATCTGTGTTGTTCAATTTTAATATTTAAATTTTTTTGCCCAGCAAAAGTAAAAGAAATTTTGACCAGTATGAATTTAATACAAAATGATTTATTTTTTCATGCAAAGTTAGGATAATTGCTCTTTTTTACACTTTACCTGACATAAATATTTACAAAGAAATAAAATAAACCATGAGATAACTTATTTTAATTATACATCTACCTTTTTAACAGTTTATGTGAGTTTCTTATAATACAAATATTTAAAAGAAATAAGACAAATTTAACGAAAAAATAAAACACATCTACACACTCTCGCCTATACACAGCAACAATCGCGCAATAAGACACAGAAATCTTAAGTCAACCAGCAGAGACCAGCTGCTCAAAGTAGAGATTTTTTCAGTTCCTCCACAATCTGGTATTTTAACAAAACAGTTTGTGGAAATTGAGAAGAATGTTTTCTTAATTGCCTGTACAGTGAAGTATTACGCAATAGCTAGGTTTTAAAGTAAATAAAAAATTACAACCAATCAGTAATTTTATTATTATTGTACTAGCAGTTAACATGTAGTCACGGTCAAAAAAATATTTTTGATTTCACTCGTTTGGAGATGAATCCAACATTGTGCCCTTTTACATTTATTTGAAGTAACTTGAATGGCAATTATAAATTTAAACACACAAATTCATGAAAGAAGTAAAGATATTTTATAATCTTCCTAATGAATCTGTGAACAAAATAATCAAAATCATTTAGTAATTTTAGGAATGTAAAAAAGTTATAACTGACACTAAAAAAAATGTGTTTTGCATTTATTTTAATTTTGGCTTACATGTTCGTCAAGCATGTAGAAGTTAAACGTTACATTTTATTCAACCCCTCATTTTAAAATATACAACATCAAAATGTGGTCTGTTTATAATGTAAAACAGGGGTGAAAGATTTCTTGAAGATTTCCTTGTATCAGTTAAAATAATGTTAGAGTTATTTAGCATCACAATAAAAAAAACTTAGGTAAAGTTTGTGTTCAGTTGATAGCAACTCAAAGACTTAGTTTAGATGAACAGTTAACTTTCGAGTAACTTCATCAACAGCTAAGCCTTAATTCCCTCCCCCTCATCTCTTGTCAAGAAACCTACTTTGAATAAATTTAAAAGTTTATCCTATCACATCAACCTTTTATCCTTTTAAATGACAAAAAAAACTAATTTGAAATTATTGATACTGAAATATTTTTAAACAGTTATGCAAAGCATACCAAGATCTATCTTACACTACCCTTTTAATATAATAACTAGCTTCTGTACCCGTGCTACACAACAGGAAGATGTACTATACCGCCTAATCCTTGTTAAGTAGTTCAAATTTTGAAATTTATAAACAAAAAGCCACCAAATTTATACAAAAAAGTATAACCTACATTGAATTGTCTTACTCACAACTCTAAAATGTATTAATAACATAATTGTCATAATGTACCGTTATAGAATCTTTCTTTAACCTCCATAATCAATGACATAGTTTTAGAAATAATTGTGTAAAATATGTTATTTGATTTGTTTGGATCAGGTGTCTGAAATTGTCAAAAATAAGCATTCAAGAGTTCTGATTGTTTACATTGAAATGTCAACACAAAGATAAAAAAAGGTCGTGAATTTTCTCATGCTCCCATATATACTTTTGAAAAACTCACCTCAAAACTTTGGACGGGGCGTAGCCCAAGAGGAATTCAGGGAAGTGAATAGGCCTATGACATTCCTAGATTTAGTCCTTGCAGCCGCACAGACAGACACCACCTTAATTTTATAATAGTATAGATAACGTTAGAAGGAAACTTAACTGTTTGTAAGATTAAATCTTTATCAGTAAATTTTACAACTTGCATCTCAATATATAGTAATAATCAATATTAAAATACTACCCACATAAAAGTTTTTATTTCAGAGTTTTAAAACTTATTAGTTTATAAATTTAAACACTCCCCTCTTTTGCTAAACTAGTAAATTTCAGTGCCCCTTTATATTGGCTGCCACCGTAAAAGTAGGTTTAGCCCAATCTATGGCATTGTTTTCAAGCAAAAGTTGGGAAAAGCTTTTGGGACCCCTCTGAATCCAATAGTTATATATTATAAACAAATATCCTCAAAAAAGGTATGATAAAAACATTATTTCAAAATAATAAAACTTATTTATTTTTGACCCTTAAAAAAGTTCTATTGCATCAAAGTTAAATTTAGAATGGACTGTGTTTACTTTTTTGATGAATAAGGAACCTAATTAAAAGTTAGAGTTCCTCCAATTAACTATTTAGCGAGCGAAACTTTTTCAATTAATCCTCTTTGTTTGCCCAGAAACTTACACTTAACGAATACAAATATTTACTAAACATCTTTTAGAGAGCTGACGCGATTAATATTCTAAAGCTATTTTGAAAAATTTGGTATTTATTTATTTGAATAGGTCGAAAAGGCAAGAAAGGCCTATATATAAGTGTCTGGTATTTCAATTTCAATTAAAACACGTTTTTAAACGGTAATTTGTTAAAAGAAAACTCTTAACCACTTGTTTACCCAAACCTTTTTTCAATAAAAATTCAAGAATGTAGATTAAAAAAAAAATTCATGACCTAAAGTCTTTCAAGTTTTTAGCATTATAGAACATGTTGAAGTTGGTTTTATATGGGTTCACACTAAGTTGGTCAACTGGAATGTAATTTATCATATTGTTGACAGAAGTGAAAGAGTAATAGCTATTTACATTACAAGTGTAGTAAGAGCGTTTTTACATCACACAGGTGAATGTTGTGCAACGAGCGGAAGCGAGTTGCATAATTATCCTAAGTGATGTAAACAAGCTCTTGCGTAACGTGTAACGTTCAAGATTTTACCTGACCCGACAATATACAGGAGGTCACGAACAATATTTTTCATTATCCATTTCACTCATCATCTAACAGTAACGTTCATTTACAAACAAAAGCTAGGTTAGGAAAATTCTTCAAAGCATAACAATAAAATTCAAGCGCACAGCTGATTTCTAGCGTTGAACATCGTTGGCTCCATAGAGGTATATTTTTTAAGTTAAGCACTCAATGTTATTTTGATGGGTTTCATTACCTCACCGAGTGAGTTTTTTCAACTTTACATCACTCGAGAAGTAAAGAAGTTGTATACATCACGCTTGGGATAGGGAAGTTTAACATGGCGGATTAGGAAAATGAATTTATATTGTTGTTCCTCTGAGCCTTATGGGAAAAGTATATGATATTGAAAAAAAAACTTTACATCTGCCTTGGCTAATTTAAATATTTAACTTTTTTCTTTTTATGCACAACTAAACAACATTGTTGAAAGTTTAGCTGATAATATGTTTCATTCACAATATAGTTTTTTATATCCTACCTTCACTTCGTTGGATGCTAGGTTCTAACCCAGAACTGTTTTACATACAACATATCCGCAGGGTTGCGGCATTATCACTTTAAAATCCGTTTGTGATTGTTGGGATTTGAGCATAGGACCTCAGGCTCCCAAGCCCAGAGCTCTGCCACTAGACCAGCTCGTTCCCCGTTCACAAGTATAACACAATTTATAGTGACTTGAAGAACTTCTCAAAAGACAATTTGAATTTATTAAAATACTCTACCCAAAAGTCCAGAAATTTTAAGTTTTATAGACTGCAATTCATGATTAGTTTCTAATTTATTCCAGATTACTCAGACACATCATCTATGGTTAACTCTTTTCACGTGTCAAAAACTACTAAAGCTGGGTTTTCATAGGCGCGGAAGCGGAGAGCGTAGAGAGGAACGCGGAGAGCGGAAAAGAGATTAACATGGTGTTCCGCTCCGCTTCTTGGAAAACAGTAACATTAAATTACCTAAGACAAGTGGAGTCCGCTCTCCGCGTTCCTCTCTCCGCTCTCCGCTTCTGCGCCTAGGAAAACGCCGGCTTAACATGAGGAACTTTACAGAAAAGTCAGGAATATACCACAGGTAGCCACAGCAAGAAAAGTGACAAGTAAAATAAAATAAAAATGCTGTTGAAATTATTTAGCTTCACAATAAAAGGTTAGGTTGTTTTCAAGCGACTAAGTCAAAGACTTAGTTTAGATGAACAGTTAACTTGCAAGTAACTTCATCACTTAAAACTCTTCTCAATCCCCCATCCCCATCATCTCTTCAATAGAATTACTCGGAATTATTTTTAATGGTTTATTTTGTTACCGAATTTTCCTATAGGTAAGTAGCTATTACCGTGGTTGGCACGGTAAGACCCGGGCCCGGGACTGATATACTTTTTAATTGATGTCCCCAGAGGCCAAAAACACCTTTTGTTAAAATGTTTATATATGTTACTACCGTAAACGTGCTAACTTTAGTAATCTTTGTTTAATTTTGATGAAATTTGGTTTAAATGTGTAAGGTGGGATAAACTTGAATGAGTTCGCAAACTAGCATGATCGGGCCATGGGAACAGGGTTTTATGGGGGGTTTTATGCAAATAGTTTTCTCATTTTTGATCCTCAAAACACAAAATTTCCCAATTTCTGTCAAGACTTTTTTAAAGAGCTTAAAAAATCTAATAATTTAGTATATCAACGTGTTTTTGAACGGTTATTGGTAACGGATAAGATATAAGAAATTTTAAATTTAAAATTCCCATGCTATTTAATGGAGAATATTGTAAAATGTTGTAGTTTGCTTGTTTATACATATAATTTGATTAAACTTAGCTAATTTATTTATTTAATACTAAGTTATTAATATTTTAAAAACACACTTAAATGGTTTCCTTGTAGCAGCTAACCTAGGTACTTGTTAAACATAATCTAATACATATCTAGTTAGCAAGAATATTAAAACTAACAGGGTTTTTTATTTCACGATTCTGAATCAACCACTCGACGGATTTTCATGATTTTTGTGATGAAAGAAAGATAATTTTGAGAAATATTGAATGTCGAAGCCATATTTTTAGTTTAGGGTCCCAGTTATTTATAAATTAACTTTTAATTTTTGAAAAGTCTAGCTAAGATTCTAAGCTAGCTTTTGGTATAATATAATTTGCTTAACATAACAGCTGTAAACATTCAGCGGTTGTAACACGAATTCAGCATTTGGAACAAATATTAAAAGACATACTAAGGGTTGACTTATTTATACTATGTGTAATGCTAATCATTAATACGCTAAATTCTTCGGTAAGAGGATGACAGATTAATTAAATATACATAGTAAAATACTAGGATGTTCAAACTATTTTGTAAAGCAATCTTTGATTTGTTTTAGTGCAATATAATTTGTTTCAACTAACAGCTGATTAAATATAAAATATTCTATAGAACTATTAGGTTATTTTATTTACTCTGATTTTGTCATTGATTATAGGAAATAAGTAAGATTAGTGGATATAATTAGACCACAGAGATAAGTAAAACCATTGATGTATACAAATCGAGGTTCTATACACGAGTCTTAAAAGAAAAGGGTATGCAAATCATTTTACTGCTCAAATGTTTGGGAAGAGTTGTAAAATAACAATATTTACAAGTTTCGTCTTGGTAGATTTTTGTTTACAATTAATGTTAGTTTGCTTACAACTTGTTTGGATTAGGCTCAGAAATATTGATGTCATAGAAAAGGAGATCAAGAATAATCGGGAATTCGTTGCGATTTTAAATTACCACCACAACCTCAGCCGGTTTTTATCCAAAGTGTCAGGACACAATGAGGATAAGATAAACACGATACTGAAACAGCTAAGGAAGACACACCATTCAGCAACAGGACAATCTCCATACTTGCTTATGTTTGGGAGAAACATAAGAACCGAAATGGATTTAATGGCTGAAGGACACCCACACCGCAAATCAAACGTCAAGTTATGACTAGAAGAAGTTTCTCAAAAGGACACATTGTGTTGATGAGAAATTACTCAAACATGTCAGAAGAAAAGTGGTCAACCGGAACAGTAGAAAGGCCACTTGGGAACGTGATGTACCTTGTCAAATCAGAAGACTGACTGTTATTTAAGAGACACTGCGACCAACTAAGAGCAGCTTAATAGGGGGGAGGATTGTCATATGCTTAAATAATCAGATGATTATTGTTTATATTATTGTTATTGTTTACATTTTATCTTTTGTGTTGAATTACAACAATAAAGTTTACTTGTTAATTTACGTGTATTTTGTATATATTATGAAGACATATCACAAAGATAAACTGATGGATGACATACATTGAACACAGAGGCATCATTGACCTAGGATACTGCAATTAGACAAACCATAATTTTATGAAATCTAAAAAAAGATTGTTTGGCGTGTGTGTAGTTGTGGTTACGTGTGGAGCGCTGATGTAGGCAAAATATCACTATTATTTCAATAAATATCTTAAACTTTTAATAAATTAATATGGGAAATTACGATGCAATTTGATTCAATAGGATGGTAATTATTACAGATATTAGAACTGATAACGGTATAGATAGTTAACATTGACAATTACGTCACTACCTTTACTAGCGTATTTACTTTTTATATTCCTTCAACATGTGACCAGTTCTTTTTTCAAATGAATTTTATTTGAACCAAACAGCTAATTCAAAACAAACTATATGTTAATGTGTTCACTTTTCTTTATTTACTCTTATTTATTTAGCAATCGATTCACTGAAATTGACACGTTCAATGAAGTTAGGATACCAAAGTTATATTATGTGTAGGCCTACTGTGAATTTTATTGGATAATATCGTTTTATTTTAGGTAGTTTCTATTAAGACCTACTGGAAATTGTGTATAGTATGAGTAATTGTATTGTGGTGATAATAATTACGGAAGAGGCAGGTATGCGAAAGAAGGTGGTATTGTTGACGAGGTCTATTCACTTCTCAACTGACTATTACCATTGACTATTAGATAATGAATTATTATATTAATAGTCAAAGCTGTTAACTGTGTCCTACTTATAATCAGTGTGCGAATCGGCCGCAAATCTCACTTCAACGCTTTTCACATCGTCACAATTGCTGTTTTATTGTAAAATTATCGGATTTAAAATGCATAGTATCGTATATGCCTATGATGGAATAAAACATATTTAGCCACTCAGCATTTGTTTACAAGATGATTTTTCACATTAAAACTGCAAGAAAATAGTTTGTCTTTATACGTGTAAACTAGGTGTTCTGAATTGTACAGTTTTAACTGACTACTCAATTCCCGTACGTAGGACGGGCTAGCATCTCGTTCTTTTAAAAACTCAACTTAGTGTTAGTGTAATGTGATTTCAATTAGAATAAGTATTGTAAATTCAGACTCATAAGCAAAATATTACGAAATAAATTAAAAAAAAGTCATCACTAAAAAGAAAGTTGATGTGCCAAGTTGGTGGGACCTAAATATTTTTTTAGGAAAAGTATATTTGCGTGGATTTTTTTATGTATGTCTTTTTTAGTTTAGTGTGCCAACGGTTTTTAATTTAAATTTTTCACTTTTAAAGGAAGAATTCAAAACTCATAAATATAAATCTTTTACCTCCAAATTTCATAGCAAGAGAAAAAAGATTTATTTCATTGCAATCGAGTTTATTTTTTCAAATGTAACTTTTCAACATAAAAAATTTAGAGGTTTGTCAATTATTGATCTTGTTTGCTTTATAGGTTAGTTACTTTTAGCTGCCCCGTTCTTTGCTTTTAACTTCTTTGCTCATCCTTCTATGACTTTTGAGAACGATACTTTCGCCTGAAATTTAGTCTTATTTCTTTGTGTGTTACGTCCGAAGATTTTGTTGCTGCCCCTTTCTTGTCTTTTAACTTCTTTGCTCATCCTTCTTGGGATGCGATTTATTCTTTCTTTGTGTGTTTCGGCCCGGGTTTTTCTACCCCTTTCTTTTCTTCTTTGCGCGTGTTCTGCGCCTTTTTGGCATGGCCCCTTTCTTTTCTTCTTTGCGCGTGTTCTGCGCCTTTTGGGCATGACCCCTTCCTTTTCTTCTTTGCGCGTGTTCTGCGCCTTTTGGGCATGGCCCTTCTTTTCTTCTTTGCGAGCTTTGGTTCTTTCTTAGCCTGTTTGTTCACTCCTCCTTACTGTCCGGCTGCACTGTTACCCTAGATGGTCGTGGGTGCTTGTGTCTCTGTAGCTTGTGTGTCTTAATGGTCCCCGCTGGGGCCCTGCACCTGCACCTCTGGCCAAACGTCCTGTAAACATATTTGCACATACATTAGTAAAATGTATTTCTGGCTTGAACTCATAGTGAATACTTCTCAGTTCCAACTAAATAATAACCAGCTAGACTCGTTCATGGAAGGGATCTTTGTTTGAGATTATCCTCTAATATGAGACGTACAATCTAAGGATTAAATGTCAAGTAAATATATCAATTTACTTGAAATTTAATCTTTAGATTGTAAGAAAATAATCATTGGAAAACTCAAAAATATAAGTCTAAAAGTTTGTATTTTGAATATGAGTAACCACTTTTATTTTCACTCATAATGCTATGATACATCATATTATGCCAAATTTCCGTATTTAAATCTGAAATACTTCTGTTGGCAGACCCCATGCCATTGCTTTTAATTACATAGCATTAATAATATCCAATCTATTACTGTTTCATCGAACAGTGTTTTTGGTTTTTATGATACTCTTTACATGATACTTCCATTCTTAAACTCAATCTTTTGCGAAAGCTTTCCTAAGAAATTAAACTACACTTTTAACGCTTGTAATCTCAATCAATATGAATACTCACGTCCAGCTCCTCGTTCGCAGGGTAGAAGATTTGGCTGTCGCTGGACGAGGAGCTGACGGAGGGGCTTGGTGTTGGGGCGGGTGATGGTGGTGGTGGTGCAGGTGCAGGCGGGCGCTCTCTGGTCATCCAGAAGTACCCCAGCGAGGCAGTGCAGCCGGCAGCGAGCAAACAGAGGATCGGGTGGTCCCTGAAAATGTATTTATTTTAATAAAGACAACCTTTTTTATCGATTCAATTACTAGATTTAACTGAGGGTGCATGTAAGTAGTGCATAGTTCATCCAGTAACATATCGTTGGTAACAAATAAAAAGATCGCCACATAAGATTCTCCAAATACCATGTGTTCTATTTCCAGTAATGAGACTTTAATTATGAGTATAAACAGACTATGAGTGCAAAATTGACCCTATAAAACATTAAAAAATATCAAGTGCAAGAAACAACAAGACTTTTAGTTTCTTAATTATAATTACATACACTATTGTTACACCATTAAAATACACTATTACTATTATTAATTATAATACATGGAAACATAATTACTCATCCAATAATTCGTAAATGCCATTAGAATGAGTTAAGTTGAGGTGATTGAAACTGCATTATGTTTACTTAACAGTTTGTTATGAGTCATTTTTACTCAATACAACTAAAACACACAAACAAAATTATCCTAACATCTTACAATACTACAAACATCCTACAAACACGTTTTTTAATATTATAAGACAATATGGTACACCAAAATATAATACTATTTCTTCTCTTTGTGGACTCAAGGAGAGGAAATTTCCAAATGAAGAAATCGTGTAATTATCTTTAATGAAACAACATAATTAAAATGTACATTATAATATTGATAAAATCATTACTCACCGAACAAAGTTAAGGACCATCATGAACGTGGAAAATTAGAAAATAGTATATAAGCAGCAGATAAAATAGAGGCTATAAAAATATGCTAGTAGTTCCAAAGGTTGTAGAAAATACTCTAACCTGATGGTTACCATGGATTTGATAAAGTTGTAGGTAATAAACTTTGCTACCTGAACCTTTGATTTAACTCAATTTGGGAATAGATAGATATTTTAGCTATTCACATACTGTAGGCTGCTACACATAAATTCGTGTTGGATACAAAATCCTGAGCTAAGTCCGTCTTAACAGATAAATTCAAACATTTGCAGGTGCATTGAAAAAGAGATGCACCAATCTTTCATACCTTGGGATATTTGTTTAGAGCTTGTTGTAAGCTTGCCACCATAGAGATCCTTCATATGAGAAAAAAATTGGAAAGTTGGTGCTAACAAGACTATTGTCTGACAACACTAAACAAACGGTCAGGATAAGCCAGTATTTGTGTGTTTACTTGCCTTAGTAGACGTAGTCGGATTGTATCGGTACATTTCCAAACACAGACGTGGATTCTTTATGAAAATTACTTTCTTCTATAAAATGTTGTACACCTTTAGTATTTTATTTATCTTTCAGTAACAAATTGATTTTGATCTTACTTTTCGTCTGCAGCGACAGCTGTGATTTGTATTTGTATTTTTGTTTATTTTGAAATTAATGAAATGAATGTAAATCGTAAACTTAAAAGAAAGGTGATACTAAATCTTGAAAAAGAAAGAATTACTAACCAACAGACAATATTGAACTCTAATTACTGTGGACGGACCTAGATAAGAGTGAGGTAGAGATCTCATACCAGAAACGTTCTGCGGATAGTGTGACTTTCAAAGGTAGTCGGGGGAGAGGAAATAGACAAAGTGCCATAAATCATCACATCAAACAGTTACAGCTACAACTGCTCCCAGAGCCAGAGAGTGCAAGCCACTGATATAAGAACTCTGACAATGGTCAACTACTTGTGTTCTGCTCACTCATGAACATATCCAAAGTGAATCTGTCAACACTAGGTCCACTTCTACTCAGTGACGACCTAGAGATGACAGATGAAGCCACTCACAACGAGGTGGAGCACCGGAGAAGAGAACAAATCAATCATTGGATCATTAGACTAATCAATTCATCCCAGAGTGTTCACAAGACTTGGGTAAAGGCAGCTTTGAAACACATAGTAAAGGTAGGTTGATTGAATCTCCTTTCTGAATATTACACAGTACCTAATTCAAAACCAAACGCAAGCAAGGGTCATTGAACAAGTGATAGGCTAGTGTGTAACACAAAAAGCAGCAGCATCATCAGAGCAACACAAAAACTGATCTGGGATTTTTATTTTTTATATAGATTTTGAAATGTTAACTAGAAAATGAAAATACCCCCGCCGCAGCAAACCTGCCGACTAAGCGAATTTCCATTTGTCTGAATTGATTTTCAGTTAGATTTCAATAACATTAGGTTTAACGAGTACCTAGGTTTGCTGTTACAAGGAAACTAATAAAGTGTGTTTTTGAGTAAAATATTGATAGCTTAGTACAAAATAAATAAATTTGCCAAGTTTGATCAAAATATATCCATAAACAAGCAAACTACAACATTTGACAATATTCTCCATAAGAATAACATGGGAATTTTAAATTTACAATTTTTTTAAATTTTCTCCATTACTAATAACCGAACAAAAATACTTTTGTATACTAAATTATTTGTTTTTTTAAGCTCTTTAAAAAGGTCTAAAGAGAAATCGGGAAATTTTGTGTTTTGAGGGTCAAAAGTGAGAAAAACCAATTTTTACCCCATGAAACCCCCCGTAAAGCCCCGTTCCCATGGTCCGATCGTACTGGTTCGCGAACTCATTCAAGTTTATCCCGCTTTACACCTTTAAACCAAATTTCATCAAAATCGGACAAAAATTACTCAAGTTATCGCGTTCACGGACGTATATATATATATATATATAAGTCTATATATATATATATATATATATATACATATATAAAAATTTGAACGAATGGTGTTTTTGGCCTCTGGGGACATCAAAATGAAAAAGTAAATCAGTCCCGGGTCTAGGTCTTACCGTGCCACCTACGGTAATAGCTACTTCCCTATAGGGAAATTCGCTAAAAAGGTACTGTAATGCACAAACTTAGCTCAAACATCATTTAACTTATTAAAGTGAAGCAGACTAATCATATATGTCTACAACTTAACAAAAACCTATTCACTACAAGTGTATGCAAACATGCCGTACCTACAGATATTCAACCCAGTTAGCAAACCTTAGCCATACTAAATCTTTTGACCCTAAAACACTTAGCAAAACATTAAAATACACTCCCATATTCAAGGAAAATATGAATAAATGCAAGTCAAGATCAGGTAACAAACAATTCAGTTATTCCTCCATATCAAGCAGTCAAACTTATACTTTAAATAAAATATTAAAACTTGTATTTACTTACCGGACGAAGTCCAAAATCATCGTGAAGGATGAAATCTAGAAAGTGTAGACGTTAGAAAAATGTAAAAGTTTGGACAAAATGCAATACGATGTGACTTTAAGGACCACAGAAATAGCACTGAAAATATCGTTGCTATGGATTTGATAAAATGTACTTTCATTGTTAAAATCTTATAGAATGGCATGACGACTACCTTTGTTCGTTACAGATATAAAAATCTATTAATGTATACTAATAATAAAATAAATTAATAATAAATACTCTAATAATAATAATATTAATAATAAATTGATGTGTACTATAGTTAGATCTGTATTTAATTTAAATAGGCCTACAGTAGTAACATTTTCTTTGTTTTTATTTTCTTTACAAATGCAAGTGCTATTTACCAATCAGAAATTTAGTATATTTAGTTAATTCTTTTTAAGTAATAAAAATACTGTACCATTCTCTACACATCCTAATAGGAATATTAAAGCTTTTTATATTGAACATAAAAAGTATACCTCATATTTAAAAATAAGTATATGTTTAATTTATAGAAGCTATTAATAACAAAGGCAGATTAAAACAATTTTTTCTTAGTATTTTTTATGAGTTTGATAAGGATTTGTTAAGGACGTTTATATTGTGTACGTTCATAGGGATAACTCTGGTAAATCATTGAAGTTTGATGAAATTATGCTTAAAAGCGACCGTATAGTCTGATTATTTGGAAAACCTAATCAGCTATGGTATCTATATAGTTGACTAATGCAGTTTAAATTGCAGTTTTTTGTATTGCTTGATAGTAATTTTTCTGTATGGTGTGGCAGTGGCAGTCCCTCGATAATTCAGCACGGGCAGCTAATCGGCAAGACCACCGAGAGACCATTGAAATAAGTAAATTAATTAGATTGGCCAAATGTGAGACAGCTAAAGACACTGGTATTAATTTAGTGTTAGTGGGTGGCAGCAAATATCTTGAAGTTTTTATCATAATAATCTAGAAGGTTGGCAAGCTTTTTAATTCATGGATACGTTTGTGATATAAGGCCCAACGTGCATATTACTATAGACTAACTTCCATCCACTCATAATCTTGGAGCGCAGACAAAGTATAATACTATTTCTTAAACACAGTCCAATATCCTATTACCACCATCACATAAAAGAGTTTAGTAGGAGAATAGGAAATTTGAGGAAATGAGGTTCAATAAAAAGAAAGCCAACACATCCTTTAAACATAATTATATTAATTATTCATTATGTCATCGAATACATACACAAGTACAACGTCAATCATACTAATTAAAACTATACATGCCAAAGTATAAACACAGTAAAGCCTTAACCAAAACATTATCCGTCTACTAAAAAATGGTACGGATATGATTTGTTCTTGTATACATATATATCAAACTGCGTATAAATTATATTCATTCTACATATTTGTTTTCACATATTTACAATATATTCTTTTTACAAGTTCTTTAACTTATAAATACATTGAATGTACAAATTATAAATACATAAACTACATTTTATACACTATTTACACGTCAAAAGGTACTTTTTTGTGGAAAATTCCTTTGTCTAATCTGAAAGGGGTATAATAGCTGTGATGATTTGTTTCGACGGTGCGGCATCGCAGTAAACAAACAGCATGTAAGTTTTAATGCTAATCAGCAGAAAAATTCCTGAATTGGAAGACTTTTTATCCTAGACAACCAACATGGATCAATATACAATAAAATATCATACTATCTAAATCATTATTTTAAGCCAAAAAACAAGGGAGATATGTGGAAATTAGAGTTTTTGGCGGCCATCTTGGGCGCCATTTTGGAAGATATGCCCTCAAAACTTAATTTAAGTAAATTTTGAGTGTTGTAATGTGTTTGGCATCTGAAACACCCCTATATACACGTTTAAACAATTATTTTAGGCCAATTAACAAGGGAGATATGGGGCAAACAGAGTTTTGGCCGCCATCTTATATACCGCACTTCCAGTTCAAATTTCGCGTTGGCAACAGGCAGATTCGTACTCAGCAGGGTTGAAATACCCTAAAAACGCGGTTTCCTCAATTGTTACATGAAATGCTTCTTGCACTTTATAGAGAGGGATTTTATATGGGTCTGCTCTATACTGAGATTATTGAAATAGTTTCCTTGACTGTTTGTGCAAGATTATCGCAGTATTAAGGTTAACATTTTAGGGTAATGTTAGACTATAAAGACCTCAAGTATGTCTTATCACAACATTGTTGTAGATTTAGTCCTAAGTGCACACTGTTGTTGCACTAAAGAAACTAATGTATACGTATTAACGTGATGTATTAAATATTAAAGTGATGTTTATTGTGTTGAAAAGATAAACTCATGAGACCAGAAATTCCCATTGTATGTTTTTTGCGATCTTCTTCTCAAACATTGACTTATAACTCTTTTGAGTAAAAAACTTTTTAACAACATATTACGTGTTATTGATTTTACTGAAAGTAAATGAAAATACGTCTGATTATACTACATGGTAGCTTAAAACTATTGGGTCTGATGATGATTGGATTGTCAAATCTAAATCAATCATTACTATAGTTCGGCCGCTTAGAAAGCGACCTCCTCCAGCATTGGTTTAGCATTAGCGCGCAGGTCGTTTTCTAAGCGGCCAAACTATACCATCTTCACATGTATTTACCATCTTTTTTAGCTGTTTAAGTGTAAATATTTGTTTCAAGTGCTATAAAAAGTAGTTATTGTTATTAAGTAGTATTCAAAATGTGTTTTTAAAAATGTATTAAAGATTGTATAATTAAACAATTTTCAATAACATGTCCGTTATTGCCAGAAAAATATTGAAATCTGAATAAAATGTTTAGTAATTAATTTTGAAAATGTAAATATTTAGAGCTAAATAAAATTAAAACAATATCATACTTTATTTCTTACAACGTAGTTAGTCCATAATACTTCTTTACAAACATTTTGGTTATTTATTTAGTATATGTGCCTCCAAACGAATTTTAAATTTTGATATCTTACTTTATAGTTTTTACCTCCTGAATCCAAATATACCATTGTTTTTCACCGCTGATGAATGTTTCTCAAGATGTAAAAATACACAATATTACAATAAACAAGGTAGGATGGATGACATTTAAAAGTGGAATGAACTGTGGGTTAATTAAGCATACAGCTGACTGTTTTCAACCAAATGACAAGCAACTGAAAGAAACAACTTTTGAACTTTATTAACTCACTCTGTTTCTGACATCAAAAGGAGTTTGCTATTGTTCTAGAGGTTTGGTTCGGTTAGGTTATGTTAGAATAGCACCATTTTATTGGGTAATTTCCAAATGGTGAAATACAAATCATTAATAAGAATAAAATAATGGTAACAATAATAAATTACATTATTGTGTTAACTTAATGTTCTAAGAAAGTGAACAATGTAACTTAATCAGGTGATTTCAAATTGCAGAATCAGAGTTAGCTAATAAAGTTGTCACTTCCATTCCATTTGCTTGACTATGATTGAAAACAATCAGCTGTTGGCTTACTTCTCCCACAGTTCATTCCACTTGTGAAATGTTATCCGTCCTACCTTGTTTATTGTAATGTTGCATATTTTTACGGAAATATCTTGAGAAATATTCATCAGCGGTGAAGAAAAATGGTATATTTGGATTCAGGAGGTAAACAAATTTAAAGTTAAACATCAAAATTAAAAATTAGTTTGGAGGCACCTATACTAAATAAATACCAAATTTGGAATAAAACTTCCAATTTCCATTTTAGCGAATTTCCCTATAGGGAAGTAGCTATTACCGTAGGTGGCACGGTAAGACCTAGACCCGGGACCGATTTACTTTTTCATTTTGATGTCCTCAGAGGCCAAAAACACTATTCGTTCAAATTTTTTTATCCTACTAATATTATAAATGAGAAAGTTTGGATGTATGGATGTAGGATGTATGGATGTATGTTTGTGACAAGTGAACGCGAAAAATACTGGTCGGATTGGGCTGAAATTTGGCATGATGATAGCTCACATTCCCAATTAACATATAGGCATGTTCTTATTTCAAAAATCCTTTCGGGCTCTGCCCCTGTGGCTCTGGAGTTTCCCATGTTAACCTTATGAGAAATGGAATTATTGAATCTTAACAGCTGTTTCAATTAAACAAGTTGGTTCTGTTCTATGATGTTCAATAGCATTAAAGTTACAAGGATTACCAACAGGGTGCAGCACTATTATTTCTTTTACATTTATGACAACAGCTAATTTGCAACCAAAAGGTGAGTGAGCGCAGCGAACGAACTTCAACCTGGAGGCGAGTTAGCGTAGCGAACGAGCTAACCTGAAGGCAAGTGAGCGCAGCGAACGAGCTCCAACCTAAAGGTGAGTGAGCGTAGTGAACGAGCTCCAACCTAAAGGTGAGTGAGCGTAGCGAACAAACTTCAACCAGGACATGATTGAGCCATGCGAACGAGATAATCTTAAAAAATTAAGAAGTTAAACGGGGCAAAGCCCGCGGGTTACAGCTAGTATGTATATATATATATATATAGACTTATATATATATATATATATATCTAATATATAAAATTCTCGTGTCACAGTGTTTGTCTGCAAACTCCTCCGGAACGACTTCACCGATCGTTATGAAATTTGGTGTGTAAATTCTGTAGGTATGCGAATCGTCTGAATTTCGTAGAATTTATGACAATTTATGACAATTTATGATTTCGTAGAATTACATTTATGACAACAGCTAATTTGCAACCAAAAGGTGAGTGAGCGTAGCGAACGAACTTCAACCAGGACGTGATTGAGCGATGCGAAGTAGCGAACGAGCTAACCTGAAGGCAAGTGAGCGCAGCGAACGAGCTCCAACCTAAAGGTGAGTGAGCGTAGCGAACGAGCTCCAACCCAAATGTGAGTGAGCGTAGCGAACGAACTTCAACCAGGACGTGATTGAGCGATGCGAAGGAGCGAACGAGCTAACCTGAAGGCAAGTGAGCGCAGCGAACGAGCTCCAACGTAAAGGTGAGTGAGCGTAGCGAACGAGCTCCAACCCAAAGGTGAGTGAGCGTAGCGA